TCTGATATCCTAGTATTTTATAAAATATGTATTTGAAGGTGAGCAATGTCACTTTTATAGAATTGACTTATTTCAATTTAGAATGAAAAATAAATATCTTCATTGAATAAATGTTAAGAACTGCTTCCAATCATGCCGAATTGTTCCATATTACTATGCATCGTCCCTGAATCAGGAACGCAGCATCACACCAGTGTTTCTCTGGGTAGCACTGAGGTCATTTCCTCAACTGCGCTGCTTTGATATCGCCATGCATTCCGGTGGGAGGAGCGGTGTGACGGAGGGTGCGGTGATGCTAATCCAGCAGTGTACTGCAATCGTGGTGAAAAAGAATGAGATTCTCGCACTGAGCTGATCAAATTGTCACTTTGTTTTGGCACACCCATATAAACCTCTCTAAAAATAACAAAAACTCCATGAAAAGTAATATTTTTCTTATGGAATTAATGCCATCGAGGCAGAATAAAGTTTGTTTACAGCTCCATAGTCTATGACAGTTAGTAGCCTGTACTGACAGCCTTTCCTTTACTCTGCTGACTCTCTTTACAGCCTCCTGAAGGCAGAAGGTATCTGTTCCATCTACTTGGTGTGAGTTATTTTTGCTTGTAAAACAGTCAAATCTGTGATGACAAATAAGATCTCTCACTATTACACACATGAAGACTGTAAGATCATTAACATGTCCAACAGCAGTAAGGTTCCTCTGAAGAAAACTCTCCACAAAATTTCTGTCGGATGATGGCAAGAACTGTATGAAAGCAGTAAATGTGACTGGCTGTGATTGTAACAGCTTCTTAAACACCCACTTACAATGTATGATAATACATTCTTACTGATCCCACCCCATAACCCCACATACCCCATATAGTGTGCCAGACCAGCCTGTCTATGAAGTCACCCAAAGTGCAGACATACACACACTGGGACTGTGTGAAAAAGGCTCCCCATTCCGTTCACCGGGACCAGAGCAGGGGCTCTGACTCATACTGCTTCAGCAAGAAAGAAAAAGGTGCTAACTGGTAATAACTTAAACAGGGTAATTGAATTGTTAACCTGGCAATAACTGCGACAGAGAATAAAGGATCTCATCAACTGCTATGCAACATTTTGGTGTCTAATAAACTTTCAAACTCACAGATGGACTTATCAAAGTGACCTTCCAAAATTGTATTTCATCCTCTCGCCATGTCTGAAACGCCATGGCGCCATCAATGCAGCGTTTTGCCGTTTTCAGTAACACGTTGCTGCATAGGTGATCAGTTGGGTTGAGGTCTGGTGACTGTGAAGGTCATAGCTTATAATTATCATAATTGAATTCACATCATTTTCATACTCATTAGAACATTCAGCGAGGCCTTTGTGCCCTCTATGGAGCTATCTACCACTGTTATGGTACTCTACTGATTTATTCAGCCTTTTCTTTTAATTTGTTACTCATCAGTATGTAAATAAAGTGGACTAAAGTGGAAATATTAGAAACACTTTGATATAATGCAGTGCAATACATCAACGCCACCTCAAAAGATTCATTATGCATGCCCACCTAATCAGAAAGTGAGGAACTAGTTAAATGATTTCTCTTGCAACGCTAACTTTTTTAATGCATTAGCTAATTTGTTACCATTAAAGTGAGTCCATACACAAACAGTTAAAGTAGTGGCTGTGTTTATGTTGTTGGGGTTGTTTACCCAATGCTGATAGAAAGGTCAACTACCACTGTTTGTCTTTATTTAGTAAAAAGTGTTAGATTTATCGGTGGGTGGTCCATAAAAATGTATTTGACTCATAAAATCATCCTTATCACACTGTACACACAGATCATAACAGACAGCTAGGAATATGCCTTCACAGCAGGGCTCCAGTAAAGCTTGTTATAAACTGAACCTGAAATTGATCATTACTGTTTTTTTGTTGACTGGGTGAATAAGCAACACAGGTGTCTAGGCCATAATCTCAATTTATGTGAGGACAAGAGTACTTTAAGTGTCATGTTTCAGGGTTGTAATTAGGATTTTACTGCATATCCCCATTATTTCTCTCCACCCAATTATCTGCTGAGAGGGGCACTTCAGGCCTATCTCTGTGCTGTCATGCAGATTTGCTCTTTTGTTCTTCCTCATGAATTATTTACTCAGTATCTGTATTGATCCCCTGCTTGTGTCAATAGGTAAAGGCGCATCATTGCCGATGAACCATAGCTCGAAATGAATAAAGCTCTATTCCTGGAATATTGCCATGGACCTCGGGAACCTTGAGACATCATCAATGTTAACACAGTTCTCAGGGTTAATTGGTGGTGGATACAAGTCCTTATGTTGAAAACACAAAGTAAGACTAAAGTATGATAATCAGACTTCCCAAAATGTTGAGTCATTGTTCTTTGCAGCCAGGGTGAGCTCAGTCCACTCACAGTGGCACACATACAAGAAGCAAGAAGCAGATACTGTACAATAGAAACAAAGTAAGTAAGTGATGATGAGATGATATAGATCTACACTGGTTCTAATCTGTGCTCTATAAGGTGTGTTTTCTTATGAGTTCTTTGAAGGGTCAAATATTAGAGGAATCTGATGTAGCCAAATACTCAAAGAGACCTTCTTTGGAAAGTGGAAATAGACAACTATTTTGCTTGAACTTATCATTATGAAGTTAACATTGATTGCACAATGTAATGACCATAGAATTACAAAAGTTTATGTTGGTTCCCAATAAGCCTCACTTTCTCTATGCAATTCACTCTGCCACAATATTTCCAGAGAAAATGTCTCCATTATAAACTATATGACGAAACTCACACTTTTCCTTCTACTTTTTTCTTCTAATGTTACTCTTGCCTCCCTCCCGACGCCAACCCCTGCTGTAATTACTTGTTTAAGGGAAGCAATAACGTTTCTCATGTTATGTTATTATGTTGCAATGCACATCATTACAACAGCTTCAACATAAAATGTTGACAATGTCAATGTACCTTTTCAATGTTCAATTATTTCTTCTCTTGTATTTCTAAAGTGGTGTTGGTCATTTCTTCACAGAGCTAGGCTCTGAGGAAAACAGTAAGCTTTCTGGTTGTCTTTGCAATGGCAGCACACATTATAATACCACTTGGAAAAGCTAGGTAAGAAAAGTTGAAAAGTTGTCTGTTTCCACTTTACCACAAGTACAAGTACTAGACAACGAAATGCAGTTAAGCATCTAACTAGAAGTGCAAAGCAGTAAAGTGCAGAGTAATGTGCATATGTACAGGGATATATTGAAAAAAATAACATTATAGATATATGACTTTACCAGCAGGATATATACAGTATGAACAGCATTAAGGGAATGAACGGAGTGAAGTTGAATACACTAAGATATAGTACAGGCTATTAAGCTTAAGAATATTTAATCTAGTAATGAACAGATTAGGCAGTAAATTCATATAGCTGTAAGTACAATTAATTAATTAATTGTTTACCCTGTTATTAGCAGGGAGGGTTACTTTAAAAATGTGTTCTGATACATCTGATACAGTTCCTTATTACCTGTTAAAAAATGGATTACCTCAACATGAAATATGCAAATTAAAAAAATGAAAAGAAATGTCAATAAGAAGTACTGATGTAGTGTATTCTATAACACAGCCGAACAGTGTAACCTTAGAAAAGAAATGGAAATGAAAAAAATGGAACATGGAAAGATTTTTAACTTCAAAAATGTGTCCTCTGCTCAGTGTATTTTAAAGAAAAACTGATAGCTTTTTTTTGTATCCTAATTACATAACATTACATAACGTAATCTGCTACTGCCGAAGAAGTATTATTGGTAATGACTGATAGAAATTGTGGGGTGGCTGACCTCCCTGACTGACCTCCGTCTGACAGCAAAATCAGGGGCACTGTTTTTGCGACTTCTTGTGGTCATGCAGCAAAGGTTGGTGTTACATGAAATCATTATATCATCTCAAACCTGTTCTGGAGGAACTAGTGGAGGCTGAGCGGGCATACAAAGCAGTTTCACGTCCTGTTTCAGCTCAGTTAGCTGCTGATAAAGTCTGACAAACATACACTGATCTCAAAGGAAGAGGCTCTGTGCTGCAGTACCACAGGCTTTCTGCTACTGCAACCTTCATCCATCCTTTAAATCCCACTTAAGTTATAACAACCAGCCTCTCAGAAGAAACAGGCTTTCTGAGAATTCACGTGCCAGTGGACAATCCTTTTCATAAATGATCAGTTTACCTCTCATCTTTAATACGGGCACTCAAATGAACAGGCAGCTAGCAACACTAGTTACAACTCTCATCGTAGCTCTACTTGAAGCCCTACGTCTGAGCTGCTGACAAAGTCAAGAGTACAAGAGTACAGAGTTTCCCTAGTCAATACATAAAGGAAAAAAGCCTGAACTCAATTCAAGTCAGAGAAAGGGCAGAGATGATTTTCAGTTTGGACAATCATAATTTCCCAACCCTTTTGTTTTCGCAACTGTAGCACTATCAATATCCTTATTTATATTCTAAGACGCCATACATTTATCCAGCTACAAAAAAACTAAAAACTGTAAACTGGTAGTGTTTCACAACGTTGCAAGTTTCTACTTGTATTGTTGCGAATCTTTAAACTGTGTCCATCTATAAATCCCTGCACACTGAAGGATTTTATGGCTGCTCAGACGAAGCCATTAAGTATGGTACCGTTTTTGAAAAAAGGACAAATGGTTTTTCTACAAAAGCCCAGAACGATGGTAAAATCATTAAAAAAAACACACACATCACAGTGTCAACAAGCCCAAACATAAAAGCAGCTGACATTACTGCAGATGACCCAGTGATGGTCCAATATTATCCAAAGCTGGTGTACACTGTTCTAGACACATTCCACTGAATTAGACAGTAAGGGCCAATTTGGCCCACAGGGAGCCTCATTGATTGGTGTGGTGGTAAAAGGGGGGTTATCTTGTCATCAATGTCAACTTCTAAACAGCGATGTACATTGACACAGAGAGAGGTAATGGTATCGGCTCACCTGATGAGCATCCAGATCGATGATGGTAGCCCTGGACATGCCTTCCACCCTCTCAAACAGAAACTGAGAGATGAATAAGAAAATGTTTGCTTTCTCTCTGATGATGACATATTCACATTTCACATTCTCACAGATGGTTTCCAAAGTAAAACCTTTACCTTGGAGATGAAATTACAATGTCCGACATAACCTGGTTAAGCTCAAACTCATCTTTTGGTTAGAAGCAATTAGATGTTTTTCATACTCTACTCTTTAATTAAATATGTTACATTTTAATCCTCTCTTTTTTGGTTCTCACTGTCTGTCTAAACTCAAGCTTTCAAAGCATGATGCTGTACCTTTATTAGCTGTAAGATGGTGAACATTAATGCGAAAAGCTTTAAAGAAAGACTATGTAACATTTGCTTAATAGTGGCCACTGTGGTCACAAATGGCAACTGCAGGATGGGTGAGACCAAGACCCCATGAACAGTGACTCTGATTAGCTAGTACTTGTTGCCTTTGTTGGATTGGGTTGCTTAGGTTAGAGTAATAAGCTAATCAGAATCAGAGTAGGGCAGGTCATGATTTCGCTATTCTGGGGAAAAAAATAGTTCTGATACTGATATCAATATGGCAACAAACCTACCCTGTCTGTGGCTCCAAGCCCCATTCTACTCAAGATATAAACTGGTCACAAGTATTGTTTCATTTTAAAAAGAAATAATTTTCTTAAACAGCTGGACACTGTAGCGCACAGGAGAAAATAGTACATTGTTGTTTTATTATTTTGGCAGATTAATATACATTTAAACTGGATTTACAGTAGATGCAAGGGGTTAATGGGAATTGTAAAGTTACTGAACAGGAGGCTACTGCCATGCAATCAGTGTATTTACATTCATTCACTCATATACAGCAGCAGTTTTGGTGAAGCTATCCTTAACCTTCACCTGTGGACAAAAGTGTTTCCACAGACCCGTTGAGTTCAAGGGAAATCCGGCTGAATCCGACCGGGTGGTAGCCATATATATATTCATATATGGTTCATATAGGTCAAGTTGAGGCACCAGTATTAAATTGAGACTGTAGTACATTTACGTAACATTAGCTAGCATTAGCCACAATAAGCTACGGGCCATACCAGGCCAAGTAAGGCTGTAGTCGCTGAAGTGTTTTGAAGTAAGCAAGCGCATGTTTTCTTTATGAATGTAACTTTTCATCCGCCAAATGAATACTAACAGTCAGGTTTCTCCTTTCATGTGACCAGCATTTGAATGAATGTTTCCAATGAGCTAACATCCACTACATCAGTCTTACCTTGATGGCCAGAGTGATGTCGGCATACGCACAAAAGCCCCCTCCCTTGTCGCTGGAGCAGTGGTGAAAGCCTCCTCCTGGGAAAAACAGAAAATCCACTGGCTCAGTGTCAGGGCCATTAGACGAGCCGAGCAGGTCACTGCACATCTGAGAAGTCTATTATTCTACATGACCATAATTGGCGATTTAAAATAGGCTGTTATTGAGTTTATTGCGGCTTGTAAAGATGGCTGCTGTTCCCCTGTGGTACAACAGTGGGTGTATTGACACCAGAATGGGACCATTGAATTGCTCCTAAAATGCCTGAAGAGCTGCGATGTATAAGGATGAGAGAAAGACTATGAAGAGACTTATTTTTCAAATTGGGATGATGCCCATTTATTTAGGTTAAGAGTTATAGTCCCCTCTGCCCTGCTATGCTCATGTTCATTAATCTATAGTGTAGAGTAGAATATTAATAAAGGCCAGTGAGGCGCCGGGTGAAATATGATTATCATCACACTTTTAGAAAGCCTCTTGTCCTCGTTGTGTCGACACACAATATGCCGGTGTCAGACGCATCTGAATCGCCTTTATATCTTTATTAAAATTCTGTTTATTGATGCAGAACAATCTTTTCACCCCTGATTCAACAACAGAAGGTGTAGTGAAGTAGCTGAGTAAGCAGGAGGTACAAAGTAAAAGTCTGATGCTGCTTTTGTTTTGTTCCCTGCTTGGCACAAACCTGGAGGGGTGGGGGGTTAAGGATGACCCTGGCTTTTACTGCCAAAGACCTCCTACTTAAACAGCCCCGCCACCTATCGCAGCAAGTGAGAGAGGAAAAGCTAAAGTAACACCCCAACAAGCAAATATGATCTCAACATAAATTTTAAGAACATTTTACTATTAGTATGATTGAAGATTCCCTTTTGAAATAATCAATGTTCCCAAAAAGGGCTGCTTATTGGAGAACACTGACGAAATCTTGCCTGGTAATTCACACTGCCAGTCAGCTCCTCTGCAGATGAATAGAGCGATACAGTATTTAGGCGGTGACAATGACATAAGCAGGGGTGATTTTCTCTAGATGATACGTTTTCTGATTGAGAAGAACTATAATAGTATCAAGTCTGCGGTTCAGTTTTAAGACAGAGACGGTGAGGTTGTGTCAGCATGACTGCACGCATTAGAGCCTCAGATCTTTGTGTTCTTGGTTGGAGGATGAGCGGTTCATGCTGACATCTGACCACTGTCAAACCTGAAATGTAAGAGTCTCACACCAGGATCTGGAAGAAAAAAATGCATCTTAGACTTTAAAATCCAAGTTGAATCATTTTGTTGTCAATGCTAATGTACAACATTTAATACAACCCTCTATCTGCAAAGTACGAGTAACCTAATTGGCAAAAACCTGCCTGGATGACATTTAGGGAAACATTTATATTGAATGTGTATCGTCCAATTTATTTAAGTGTCTGTAAAACATATAAAACGTCAGTGTATGTGGAGGTTGTTATTCCAACAATATCCACTCCTCACTGAAGCATGATTCTGGTTTTTATGATTACGTTCAGGAAACACTTTTTTAAGTGTAGGTTAGAGAAAGACCGTATTCAACACTGCCTTTTTCAGTATTTAACCAAAATATATTTCAAGCAGTAGTAGCCTAAACCAAACCACACATTAAAGTTCTGTGTTTGTGAGCGAATAGTAGTGACACCTCTGTCAAAATTCACATAAATAACGTGATCTGTGGACTGCTCACATTATATTACCAAAGCTCCAGACCAGTACTCTCATTGACTAATTTGAAGGGGCGAATTAAAGGCACTTTCGATTTCCAAAATATATTTCCAATTCTTTGTCCATGAGAAAAGATAAAATTAGCAATATTTGCGATGCTGAGGGTGTTCCCCAAAGCAAAATCTCACCCAGGGCCCCGAAAAGGGCTAAGACTCGCCCTGATGGTCATTTTGGTCAAGGATTTTGCTGCATTTTCCTTGCACCTCACCTCTCCATGGTTGGTTTAGACCAAACCACAGAACATGTTCTGAAATTCAAATAAAAATGGGAATGTTTAGACATCAGTTTAAAAAGAGAACAGTGTACTGTCATGTTTTTGTATTTTACTCCACATGCGCATTGTTTTGGAGATGTTGACAACAAAACCACAATAGTTGGGTGAGCAAGGCTTCTATCTTGTTTTTTACAAGATGTGGTTACTGATTTGTTTACGGTTTTGCTCTAGAATCTCACTTACCCCTTAGACTTAAAAGACTTGCTTCACAAGTAGGAGCTGAAGGTAGGGCTGCAACTAACAATTATTCTCATTATCAATTCATCTGTAAATATTTTTCTTAATCGATTTGTTTTCGAGTTGTTCTCTCCTGCAATGGCGAAACCAAAATTGCAGGAGAGAACGTGATGACTGCTAGCAGCTAACTGCCTCATTCCAACCCCACTGTGAAAATACTGCACTACAACTACTGCACTGTAAACCTTACAAAGGTAAAAAGTATTCTAGCAAAATCTACTTAAAGAAGTCATTGTGCAGTAAAATGGTCCTGTCAGTGTTTTATTATTATATATGATGTTTTTGGATTAATATTACTGCTGCTTTATTGTCACATTTTACTGCTGTATTAAGGTTGAGCTAATTTTTTTTATTATTATTATATCATATTATGCCCTATAATGACATAATTCCAGGCCTCAAAAAACAAAGTACATATCCCAACACTACAGACCACCCTAAAAGAACTTTGTGAAACTGACACCTGGTTTTCTGCCAGAGTATCATGTCCTTTGAAAGTCCAGAAAACTTTGGCTCTTGGTCTCAGTGAATAATGTTGTAATTAAATGATTGAATTCTAAGGTGAAATGTGGCCAGTAGGAATGCACCAATCCAAACTTTTCTCCCCCAATACTGATTCTGATCCTTCAGATACCATTGCTCTCTTTTCCCAAAATTTTGCAATCTGTACAACAGCTCCAACAAACTCAGTTTCTCAATTATAGATGCACCTTAGACCACAGACCCCCAGGATTTTGTCTTGAGTGTTTTTTTATTTTTACGTTTGAAGATAAAAAAAAGTCTTTATAGTAAATTAATGATCAAACTAGGATCACTATAAATTACAAGCAATCATAATGCCCGACCCTATTTCTTTCCTTGTTTATCCAAGGTTTTATCCAAAAATTATGATAAAAGTTAATATTATATTCCTGGTTTTTCTGGGGACCCCTAAACCCCGTTCAAGGACCCCTGTACCGGGCTTGTGCAGGGATGTTAACACAACAGCTGCAGCAGGATTGGCTGTCTATTTATGGGTGAAGGGTCTCTGTACTAGAAACTCACTTACCTACATTTATAGCCCATCCTCGGTCAACAGCCAGTTTTCCTGCCTGTGAAGACAAAATATAGAAAATCAACAAGTATCTCACTGCAAACTGATTCATGTTTATTGAAAAACAGACAAAAACAAAAAAAGTTATTTATGATCCCTTTGTGAAGTGGTGTGGGGAGAACCACCTGCAGCTGAACATGGCAAAGACAAAGGAGATGGTGG